AAAGAAAGAACATAAGACATTTTTTTATTACTTACTTTGTTGTCTGCACGCGCAACGTGAGTAGAAAAAAACTCAACGTTGAAAACATGGCATCAAAAAATCCCAAAACAAATGTTCTAACAAAGCAAATGAATGATTTAACACTAGATCAAAATATTGGTAAAAGTATTCAAACATCTGATTTTTATATAACTCGATCAGAAAAGGATCGAATAAATTTTGCTCGTCTTGAAAAAGGACTTCTTTTACTTATTTATCTCTATGAAACAACGAAATCTACACTTGCATCTGAATTAACTCTCTGGGATCATCGTCTTTGCTTTTACATGATCAAAGATGGAACATGTACGAAAACATCTGATCAATGTCATCATATACATCAAACAACATATCGACAATCAAATCTTTGCTCTTTCTGGTATATTAATAAAACATGTAAATTTAATTCAAAATGTAAAAATTCACATCAGTTTGAAGAAGCAGCAAAATATCATCGTTATCTTCGTACAGAAACTGAAGTTAATGTTTATAAACTTATTCGATTTATTCGAAATTTTGCTGGACATTATATTGAATCAGTCATTACCGATCAAAATGACCAACAAAATCTGTATAAAGATATAATTATTTCTATAGTTCATATAGTTCATTTTTTAAGTCTTAAACAATTGAATTCAATTGACCATTTAAATTTATTTCTTGAAGCCGCAACAATAAATCAATTAATTCCAAAAGAAGATCTTCTTATTGAACTCGATAAACCATATGATATTCCAAATATATTCTTTGATTTATCTATGAATTTTAATACATATTGGTATCAAAATAATACAAATAAACAATGTATCGATTTTAATCAGTTATCATCTGAATTTATCACATTTTTTAATAATATTTTTACTGGATACTATGAAGGACGTCTTAAATCACGTGGTTCTAAAGCACCTTGGCGTGAACATTCAAAAAAGACATAATTATTAGTAACACTTGTTTTTATTATTTAATCAACTTGTTTCTATGCAAAAATATAGATGAACTGAATTCAATATTCACATTTCTATAAAATAATAACACTTATAATAATCGAATGAAAGATTATTTTGATAAACGTTAATATTTCAACTAACACAAATATCCTGTTAGATCTTGTTTAAATATACAGGGAAATACATTAATATATCTGTTCTCTCATTTGTAAAATGTTCTTAAAACGAGATTGAATAAAAATATCTCTTATTTTTTTCTCATCATAACTACGATGATCAGTTGCTTAATATACTTATACTACGATGTAAATCATAGCACTGCTATAAAATTCTGTTGAGAATGTTATATTCAAGTTTCTTTTTTGATAATATATGTCTTTAGTCGTTCTTGATGGCAGACAATGAAACTAAATAGTTTTTATAAGATCTTAATTGGTTAAGCAGTAGCCCGTTATATAGATACACACCCACACCCTCAAGATGGTTTAATACTATAGATTTACTGATGCGTAGTATTCAGAATGATATAAAATATAGAATTAAAATATTTTATTCAATGTAAATAAGCAAGGGTTTTTTAAAATATACAATAAATATATGATTAAATAAAATATTTCAAGAAAAGACAACATATATATGTTTTTATTCATATGTATATATTAAATGAGTTGGAAACGCCAAATTCTATTATGCGTCACTTCACTTACAAATAGATTACTACCATTAATGCTTAGCCTAATATCCATACTTCCTTGTACCGATGTTGAATCATTTCTAATTATTGCACCATTACCGATAATGGTCACTCCATATGTTGCACCAAAACTCCATCGTTGCACACGATTGTTTCCAGTATCTGCAATATAAATATCGTTATTTATTGTTGAAACACATAATCCAAATGGCGTATTCAATTGATTGCTTCCAGATCCTTGACCATTTCCTCCAGCAACAGTAGTTCCATTTATTGAAACACCAACATGATATCTTTGAATTCTTTGATTATTAGTATCAGCAACATAAAGGTAAGAATTGACCTCATCAAAGTAAAGACTAAACGGTGTATTGAGCTGTTGAATGCCACTACCAGCAATACCGGTGCCACCGACAATTGTGGCATTCGTGATATTAGGTGAAAATCTCATTATGCGATTATTATATGTATCACAAAGATAAATATTTTTTTGTGAATCTACAAACATGCCACCTACAATACCGAAACTGCTTAGTGTATTTCCAGCCGAACCAGTTCCTGCCACTTGAACACCATATGACGAATTCTTCTTCCAGAACATTATTCGATAGTTATAACTATCTGCCACATAGATATTAAACGACGTATCAATATATATACCTGTAGGTCCATTTAATTGGTTGGTAGCGGCACCTGCAATTCCTGTTCCAGCGACGAGTGAACCCGTTAAAGATCCTTCTTGAAATTTTAAGACTCTATTGTTCTTAAAGTCACATACATAAACTGAATTATCAATTCCAATCGTAAGTGCGAATGGAGTGTAAAGTGTAGTTAAAGCATTTCCTGACGTACCATTAGCATTACCGGCAACAACCGTTCCAACCTGGATCGATGGTGCTACAAGATAAAATCATATCGATCATTCTTTTTATCATCATATAAGTATCATTTCTTAAATCTTATAGGTAGACTATAAGATCTTATAAAATATGTTACTAAATCTTTATAACTGTCATAAGATAAAATTTATATTAATAATACTTACGACCACATTGTTGACGTGGTAAACATGTATAATTTAGATCACTTCGACATTCGGTACTATTCATACATGCATCTCCAAGTAGTTTTTGACTTTGACATATTGATCCATCAAAATATGTATGTATTTCACATTGACATGTATTATTAATACATGTCATATATCGACTTCCTTCACATAATAAACATGATTGACTAAGATTAATAAACTGTTTTGCATAATACATTTTTGAACCAACACGAGATTGAGCTGATGAAGAAGCAACTATTGAACCCATAGTTATTATATTACCTTCGAAAAGACGACACAAAAGTGATTGATCATCATAATCAAATATACGACAATTGCTATTTGAATGGCATGTTTGAGCACAAGAAATAAATGATTTAATATTTGTTTGAGACAAAAAAAGTGCTTGATAATTAATAGGTAAGAACTGAAAACCAGAAGGAGATAAATTCATTGATGATTGCCAACTAAGAGAACTACTTTGACAATCCATCGGTGTTAGTATGCAAGAGAAAAAGAAGAATACACCATAGTATAGTTTGATTATAGTGAAATACATTCTAAAAGACAAAATAATACAAGATAGTTCACAATGATTTTGTGAAAATGGAAGATAAATGAATCTTGAGGGTATGAGTGGTATTCATGTCTTAAGGTGATCCTCACCCACACCCACAATCGTTTTTTGATGATGTGTACACACCTTATGCTTAATACAGAAACCAGGTATCGATGGAGCGAAATACGATGCTAAAATATGTTTGCATACAATAAAATAAATAATTAAAATTTTCTTGTTAACAAAAATGTACTCAAGTTTATAATGAGAATGAAGAAATAATAAAATAAAAGAGACGAACAAAAACAAAGAGAACTAAATAGAAAAAATGTCAAAAGCCTATTTACGTCACAACCAATCTTCTAGGAAATATAAATTTTCAATTTGATGAACATGTGATTACATCAAAACAAGTCATTTTCCAACTGAGAAGATAAATTAATAAACAAATATCAGGTGTTTTTACATATGTCTTTTAAATGAATTTATTCTAGCATAGTCAAATGTTCAGTAAGATAAAGAGCATTTTATTGTTTAATAATTTATTTAAAAAAACAATGACAATGTTGTGAACAAGTTGATTTAATTCAGTCGAATAGTTACCAAATAAAAGTGTTATGTATATATAAGAGTTATTGCCTAAAAGGAAGAATGTCGGTATAATTTTTAATTTCATTCTTGTCCATACTTATGATACCGAGTTATAAGTAACAAACGCTGAATTGATGTAGATGATTTATAATGAGGGCATATATAAATAAAAATCATTCGAAAAGTTAAGTGACAATTAAAGTTTCGTCATCTTCATTTCTTACAGTAAGATAGAAATCCACACCCTCAAGATGACTTCGTTTTTAATTTTGGAATAATTTCTTATGTGATATTTTTACTTTTGTATCAAAAATATTGCAATTGATCTGCTGTTTGTTTTTCTCAATATTCTCAATCATTATTGAATATATCTGAAGTTTTTCTACGAGTAAATTAATCTATAGAGGAAGCATTTTGAAATTAAATTTGTCAGATATGTCACTCACTCAATTAACAACCTTAATTTATTTATATTATTCTTTGAACTATTTTATGACAGAAATATTAGGATCTACCTATTAATCCTCAAATTCATATACGTATAATAATAGAAATTTTGGACTATAGTAGTTTTCTTTTTTTTACTCAGCAATGATATTAACCTTAACGTATCAGTTTCACGTGATCTATTTTTCAAAAAATTTTCACGTCGTATTTCATATATAAAATAAAGTTCGATTCATTTAGTTTATTTATATTTTTCATTAATTCTAATTTAAATAATTAATCTTGAATAAATGATGTGCAAAGAAAATAATTGAGAAGATATTCCAAAATTCGTTCTGTTAAAATTTATACATTCTCCAGAATTATTTATAACATGTGTTATTTTTTTATTAAAAATAATATTGCGCAAAAAATTGTTATATTGACATTGTTTTTCTGCCTAGACGTTGAAGAAGAAAACGAAACATTGTATTATTTATATTTTGATAAATACGAAGAAAAAGATTTTGTCAGTTGTTATTTCTAATTGTAAAAATGATTCTCTTCTCTTATCTCTATTATGAAATATCTTTTAGTTAAAAACGTCGTATACCTCTATAGGTTTATTTCACTAAGAGATAAGACACTCAATACTTTAACAATAGTTATATTGCACTCTGCAAAATTTCTATATATACATCATGACGAAATTAAGTACAATAAAATTTTCTTGTTTATTTTCATTAGTAATTATGAGATGATTTATATTTTATAGTATTTATATTTATTTGGAAATTATTTCTAATATCTGTTATTCAAAGTCAAAAATTTCTTGAATGTAAATTTGATGATGGTGAAAGACCATGTAGACTAAATCCTGTTGGATTATCAACTCCAGAATTAACACTTACAAGTACTATTACATTAGACAATCCATCAATAGATCCAATAATGCCCTTGTCTGATGTAACATCTATTAGTAAACATATTATTTTTTTTTATTTTATTCTTTTTACTTGTTTTATTTTAATATTTAGTTACTCCAACTATGGGAAATAATTTATTATGTCAATTACCTTATAAACTTGATGGAAATTCTAAAGATATTTATTTCTGCTCCAAACTTGAAAGTTCATCGAATGTGTCCAGTTGTTTTACAGGAGATTCTTCAGAACAAGAATGTCTTCCTGGTAAATTTGTTTTTGATATTTTTGTTACAATGTAAACACTTGAATATGAATAGGTCAATATATTATGGCACAACCTTCTGCAGGAGAAAATCTTACATATTTTATCGAAGTATTAGGTACAAGTGGTTCTTCATGTTTGAGCTTTTACTATTATATAACACGACCTAATGTTGGTCAAATTGTTATTTGGTGTACTGATATTGTTGGAAATATAGTTCTTCAATTTGGTAAAACTTCGAATGTACCATATAATGGTTGGCATCGTACTGAGTTTAGTTTTAGTCCAAATATAACTAATTATCAAGTAAGATTAAGAAATTCAATAATTTATTATTTAATTATGAAGATTTATTTATTTGTGCATAGCTTTATTTCGATTTACAACGATTTGAATCTACGGATGGATTTATCTCTATTGCTCTTGATGAAATAAAAGTAACTGGTGGTCGTTGTGGTATGAAATCTAACATTAGTTTA